GCAAAGACTCATGGGAACGCAGGGACAATGAGGGCTACCCCAGGGAAAGCCAGCGAGGGGAGCCGCTGCCCATACAAGATGGATACATGTGAACAGCACACGTGTCCCCCTTCTCCACATTTGAGAACCCAAACTTTCACGCCCCGGAAACTTTAAGCCAGCCCGTTGGTGCTGGCACGGGGCCACCCTGAGACATACAGGGGACAAACCCCAAGGGGACCGGAAATAAAAAGTTACTTTTCTTCTTTTTGCCAGAGGTGGGCTCGTCCTCCGCAGCGGCGGAGCGCTCCTGGGACTTCAGCATCATAAAGCTCCTCAGCTTGTCCTCGTGGTCGATGACCCTCATCATCTCCTTCAGCTCGGTGTTGTACAGCACCAGGTCCTTCTGACTGCGGTCCTTCACCGCCTGCATACGGGCCAGGGCCTCGGACCTGACAGACAGACATACGGACGCCTTCTCACATGACCGCTGACACCGTTTTACTCACTAAGGTTGCCAGTCCACACCAAAGATCAGCAGTGAAAAAATTCTTAGGGACACAGATCCTTATTTGAACAAAAGGCTGTTTTTTTAGGACTTAATCAGTTGCTGGTTGAACAGTAGCTGTAAATTTTGCAGGACCAAGCCCCTGAGCCTCTACAAGAATAAACTGAACTTACTAATTAAATTAAATGTTTTCAGAATTTGTAATATATGGTGGATGTCTTATTTTGCAAGGCTTACCCATTGGCTCTAAATAATTCTAACCCTGTTACTGACTGACCGCTGCTACCGATATCAGCCAAACAGACCAATGCAATAATTGCCCCAGCTGGTGATTAAACACATAATTATAACCCTCCTTCAATTCCCTTGAGACAAGCTGTACTGCTTCACAAATTGCCTAATGATTACGACAGAAGGAGAGTGTAGCCGTTGTCCCTTGATCTCAGCCTGGAGGAGCTGTGGGATCTTGGCATTGATCTGAACTACAACTGCAACTTCAGTCATGTTCTGCTTCATCCAGTAGATGGAGCCATTGGACTGTCTTTCAGTGTCAGACGTTTCGGCAAGGACAGGTCTATGCGTAACTGTATCATCTCCTGTATTGACAATGTGTTGTTTATGGATTTCGGTATGGGGTTTTATGATTTTTCTGACAAGAGCTGTTAGAAACAGGGCCTGCAAACTTTCATTGAGACAAATGGCAACAGTGGTCAGCAGACAAGATTGGCAAACCCTGGTGCTCTTGCAAATAATGCTGACACTGACACAATAACACTGGAGTATGGTGGACATCGCGTTAACACCTCACCTTTGGTCATAGGCCTGGGTTGACTTTTCCACCAGCTCCTGCATGATGCTGTGCTGGAGCAGCACGTCCTTGCTCATCTTTTGGTACAGCTGACCAAAAGTGTCCCTTTGCCACCGGAGGTGGTCAATATCCACTCGCAGGGCCTGGTTCCTGGACAGCAGCTTGTCAAACTGCATGGTGGCCTGCAAGCAACACGGGGAGAGCTGGACTCAGCAATCCAGATCACAGCCAGCACACAGAAACACAATGTTTCAGGGTGACAGTGCTACTCACAGTACGAATCAGGAATGACTCAACGCAGCTTAACGTCACACACTCCAAAGAGAAGAGATGTTAAATAATAGTCATTAGACTGAGAAAAAGAGATCCTAAACCTATTTCGGTTCCACTGACTTCAAGCTCACTACAAAAAGAGCTGATATTGTCTTTGCTGGATAAGGCTGTAGATCAAGGCTGTAGCTACAGTCATGTTAGAAATGTCTTTGCATTTCAAAGTACCTTTCAAACGTGCCTTTTCTATGATGAGATTGACTGCTATGTATTTGCTGTACTATATATAGTAGAGCAGCATGATGGCCAGTAATGACAGGATCGTGGCACAGTGGTTAGCATTGTGTATGTGTGTGGAGTCTGTATGTCTCCCTGTGTTCACATGTGTTTCCTCTGGGAGCTCTGGCTTCTTCATACACTTCAAAGACATACTGGAAGGTCAATTGATTTCTGGGAAAACTGGTCCTGGTGTGAGTGTGTGTCTGTATTGTTGTTGGTCTGCCCTGTAAACCCTGCCTTGCTCCCATGGCTTGCCAAAATCTGGCTCCCCTGCAACCATGAATTGCATGAGCAGTTAGAAAATGGATGAATGGACAGATCAAATATGGCCAATTGCCTAAAGATAAGTTATTATTTTAATACAAATATGGAAGTATTAATTCTTTTTTATTATATGTACATGGCAATTGTTTAAATCTCAGCTATTGTCATTTTTTTACCATGCTGCCGGCTCCATAGTGCCGTACAGGAGAGTGAGAGACAATTGGAGGACAATCCATGTCTCTCTCTGATGTCACTGTAATCCTACAGACACCTGGGAACACCACTCTGCACCACCACATGTGGAGTCCCAGTCACCCAGTGACATGTCCCAGGCTTGACGTCGGGAATGGAGGGACCCAACATACACTCACGGCGAGGCACTCGGATCTTTTATTTTCCTTAAATTAGACCCCAACTGCCGGAGGACACAAGACTCGGAATGGGCCTAACCTGGCTGACACGGCTCTCCAGAATTCGGATCTGCTTCTGCTGCTGAGCAGGCCTGTGCTGTGTGCAGTTCCTTCCTCTCATTCTTTTCTTCTTCTCCAGGAGCTTCGCCTCCACCTCTTTAATCTGTGAACAATGCGAGAAACAGCAGGGCTGAACGACAGGGAAGAACGCAACGCACACTGCTGCATGTCATTTCCTTTCCAAAACGAGGCACACAATAGTACAAATGCAGTTCCGTTTTGCTGTCTGGCAGGACAAGGATATTTTCCTACTTTTATCACAGGAAGAATCCCAATGACAGCTTCTTTCCTGTTGGAATTCTTACTATTTTCTCCAGCTCTACTCCTCTCAGACTCATGGATCACCTAAATATTCCTGGTCAAAGTGTCTGAACCTTAAACTCAATCCTGTCTTAGCCCCAAAATTGCTGAAGCATTTTGTATTGCATTTGAGATTAAAAATAAGTTATTCCTACAAAATACTTGGGAGGAATTCTGCAGGAATTTGGTGCAAACATAATAGTTTTGGCAAGTGGTTTACAATACTTTTTGCAGGAATAGTGCAATGTTGTGTTGTTTGGGGAAATTCATCTCTGACTCCCAAATAGATTCTGGCAGAATCAGAAATTTAGTGCTCGGTCTATGCAAAATCATGTTAAAATACATATAATACAAACATATCACTCCCTACAATATGCTCAGCAGAGTGTGAAAATTTTTCTCTGTTAAATGAATTCAACACAACAAGTCATGCGATGGAATGCAGTGATCACTGGTGTTGTGAAAATACTGTACCTACCTGCACTTCCAGCTTGGTAATGTGGTCTTTCTGCTTCTGGATGAGCGTGTTGTAGTGGTCCTGCTTCTCCAGCAGACACTTCAGCTCCAGTAGGTGACAGTGGTCACTCAGTGTCCTCTGATTGGATGTCATCAGATTTATGTTCGTCTCCATCTCGTCCTGTTCTTTTAGCATGCGGTTGATCTCTTCTCTGTTGGCACAATTACTTCACTTGAACATCAGCATCAGCCAGTAACAATAACAGAGCACAGTGTGAGTGAACGTTCATGTACCGTTTCAGTTTTGTCATCTTACCAGTCTAGTCCATAAAAACCCATTCCTCTGACCTTTCATGTAACTGAACTGAATACATGATTGGACCACTGGAGCAAACTGCATTTTATTCTCCATTGTTTAAACTAGGAGGTTGAGAATTATTAGTTCTTTAAAATGTCTTGTGACTTTGTACCTTCAAGGTCCAGAGAGTTTAACAGACCAATGGTATAGTTAATTTACTTTGAACAAGACTATGGCTTGTGGACCTTGAGAAAGATTTACAACTTTTTTTTCCGATTTTTCCTCGCTCAGACACACACAGCCCAGGAGAGTGTGCACTCACTGCTGCTTGTGGATCCGGTGCTGGGCCTGGTCGCTGTAGGTCTTGCTCTCCATCTTCAGGACATGATGCTGGTGCCTCAGCCTGCTCAGCTCTGCCTCCATGCCGGCTTGTGCCTCTTTATCCAGAACTAGTGGCATCTTTCATGCAACAAAGCTAAAAACCCATAAAGAAAAACATTTAAAATATATTCAGGTATTTAAACACATTAAGTCTGTTGCCTATGCACACTGGCCTTTAATCTCCCTGGTTAGGCACTACTGTATATTCACTATATGGCCAGCAGCCATATCGCCCTGCAACTCACATACTGGACTCCTGGAAAAGCTAAGGCTGCTGCTGGAAGAGGTGTTAGTAGGGCCAGCAGGGGGTTTATGTGGGTCCTATTGCCCCAGTATAGTGATGGGGACACTATACCATAGAAAGGCGCCGTCCTTCAGATGAGACGTAAAACCGAGATCCTTACAAATCTTCTCGAAAAGAGTAGGGGTGTTACCCCAGCGTTCTGGCGCACTATGGCTACCGTCGCATTATCCAGGTGGGGCTGCATATTGGTGGTGGTGGAGGGGAGTCCCCTTTACCTGAAAAGCACTTTGAGTGGAGTGTCCAGAAAAGCGCTATAGAAGTGTAAGCAATTATTATTATTATATTAATTTGTTTAGCAATCGATGCGTCGGGCTCCAGTGATGGCTGCCTGCGACCGCAGGTGAAGGCACTCAGCACAGTGGGAGTCAAGATGAGTCAGTCAGACTTCTCTTAATCTGGTTCCCCTTGTCTTTTGGCCAGGTGAGGAAGAGTGGGGTCTCCCAGTGACCCCCTGTGCCACTTCCCCAGCAGCTGAAGGGGTGCTGGGAATCAGAGGGGCCTGTTTGTATTAACACACACTCCCACTATGGGGCTGCAGGTCCAAACTGGTGAGGTCTATAATTAAACAGTGGTAATTCTAAATGGATAAAAAAAACAACTCTACATGTATTTTGATATAGATTAATCACAGACAAACCTACACACATACATGCTGATAGTACAGTATATGTGAATTACACTGCTCAGAGCTGCTCAGAAGAGTCCAAGCATCCCTTTTTTTAGAAATTAGTCTTTTATTAAAAATTGGAGTCTTAGGTTAAGGACGATGTAAATATCTGTCCAACATAACCACTTTATGTTATACAAATCTTATATCACCTTGTTGACATTGCTTTAAAAACCATCCACCATGATGTGTACAATTTTCAGCCACCCAAACTCCACTCTCAGAAGGATGACAGCACACCCACAGACATGATGCCATACGTTTGTAACTATAGTGACAATGCTGACTACTTCGATATGTCATGCTGATCCCTTCGCTAATATGAAAAATAATAATTTAGATTTTTAATTGTGCTCTACACTAGATGTTTAATTTAAATAAATATTATATGCGACAGTTTAAACTTAATATTACACTTCAACATATTGTATTTTATGTCAAACACGTCAAAAAATATAACATTATTTTTTTTATAAAGACTATTTTGGGAAAATTATAATAATCGTACCTTAGCAATTTTGTAGACATCAAAGTTACGGTTTGCAGCGAACTCAAAATACAGTGTTTACTTTAAATTAAATTATAATAGAAAATAGCTAAAAAATTAAAAGACCTCTAATTTGCTTCGGAGATGGTCAATGTCACTTGAGCCCAACTGTCTCCTGGAAACACTTTCGAAGCCGCAGAAAGTTGAGAAATTCCACGATTGTGAAGTTTTGATTGTGACGCCTTGCATTGGCCGGTGACGTTTATTTTTTTTTTAAATCTATACTTCTATTCTACAAGCAATACACACATACGTGACACGAGGTTTTATTGCTTACAGTCGACTTCGTTATGGCGATATAGAGCTGAAAGAATAACGGAATCGTATTGTACAGTATAGCCTACTTCATGCATGCTGTATTTAGGACTTTACAAATGCGATAGAAAACCTTTCTTAGGTTCGACACATCGCACGGGTTATTGGTGACACATGCAAATGTTTCTTTGTGAGATGTTGCATTGCTGATTAAACGTAACACAGTTCGTCCTATTCTGCTCTTTCTTTACATCCACGCGTTGTTCAGCCTGTATATTTACATCCCATGACTCATGACGGTTCATGTTGGCTGTACTTTAAATTATTATTTCGTGTAATGCTGAATTCTCAGCTTTATACTGTGCACTTTTGCACATAATTATTTTACTTCTTATTTATTGTACAGTGCAAGTTGCGACAGGTGAAGGTGTCAGTTAAGTTCCTATTATCAATTAAAGGAAGAACACGCTTGTCAAAAAGACGGGCAACGTATCGCACTTTCATTGCTGCGTTAAAAGGAACAGCTGTTGGCATGTGGAACAATCCGAGCTTTGTTACTGAAAAATAGAGAATTAATTACTCCGTAAGCCAATAATCTCACACCAGCCGGTAACATGACTGGACTGCTGTGAGGACAGTGAACCTGGTGTTATCCAACAATTGACTCACCCAGGGAGAAGCATAATCCAGTCAACACTGCTCGAGCAAAACACCCCACTGGCTGTTCTTGAAAAAAAAAAAAGATTTATTGAAAGGGTGAAGAAAATGAACCATGTGTCTACTTTTCAGGTATGTCTTGTTTAATGCATGTTTGAATACTGTTGAAAAATCAGCTGTTCAATTTTCAAAAACTAAACGAAGCAATAAAATAAAACAAGAATCTGAATTCATATTTCAGTAGTAGTGTTTTGGGGGGATTTGTGCGAGTGAGCGGGGCTTGCTGGTTTGAACAAACCCTTTTATGAGTCACCTGCACAGAGCTACAATGCTTGCACTTTGTTGCTACTTTTATAGTTACTGTATTTGTAGGCACATGATCCTTTTATGTAACTTGGCCCTTTTGTCCGTGTTACATCTTGTTACAGCTGATCTCATTATCAGCCTCTGGTTATTGTAATGCTGTATGTTACAGTGGTTTGCAGTATTGTGTCCTCCTGGTATCTGTGTTTGTACTTTGCTCCATGTGAAGCTGTGAAACTCTTTATCCTGAAGTGGACGTACTGTTCTTGGCAATGTGAGTGCCAGGTGATAGTAATAGAACTGTAATACAGCCCTACTCATTTTGTGTCACTTCGCTACATGTGTTTTTGAATTGTTTTGGAAAACTGCAAGAAAGAGAAGTGTTTGGTTTACGAGGGAATACGCAGCTGAAGTGTACCACATGTTTGCTGTACTGCACAAAGGTGTGTGGCACTCTGCTGGAAAACGCAAAGGCCTCCGTCTGTAAGAATTTTAGTACATGACATTTTCCTTCACCAGAAGCTCTGTGCAAAAACATCACAAATACATGACAAGCCTACGTTTCTAAAGCCAATCACTAGCGTGGACAAACACAAGGACAAAGGTAACATGGAGCTCAACTGCTTTTTTTTTCCTTCACAGCCTCCTCCTTTTATAAGCATAAAATAAGGGCGTAAATTTTACAAACCCAAACACCTATGATTACTAGTAGGTATGTTATTTGTGACGTGCATGGTGTTTTAGGCAGAGAATTGGTTTCAGACCTATATCCACTTTCTAACCACACCTTCCCATTCAGGGTCACAGGGCAATCGGAGCTATCCCAGCAGGCAACAGGCGCAAGGGTAAGGGTACTGACTGGACGGGACGCCAGCCGGACGCAGGCCAGACACACAGACACGCACACACCCAAACCTAGGGCCAGTTGTCCCAGTTGTTTTTGGAGTGTTGGAGGACACTGTGTGCCTGGAGGAAGCCCACGCGAACGCTGGGGGAACATGGAGAGTCCACACAGACAGCACCCCAGGCCTGGAATTGACCCCAGGGCCTCACTGCTGCAAGGCAGTGCTGCCCACTGGGGAGTGGGCTGCAGAAACCAGCTAACATGCTTTGCTCTGCTCTCTGTAGGCTTGTGCTCACATCAAGCAAGAGCATTCAGGAAGCAAGATCTCACTGTGTAGTATAACAATTATATTTTAAGGCTTTGCTGTCATAATTTACACATTTAATAGTATGATGTAATGAATGAAAACAGTCATTTTAGCTTACTTTATTAACTTTTTTTTTGGGGGGGGGGATATTTATTCTGAATGGGATAAAATCCTAGAAGAAGAGATATTATCCCATCTGTGTTTAGTGTTTCATAGTTAAATAATAGCAGTGTGATCAAAAGCAGCTGATTACTACATAGCTCTTTATATAAAAATAATTATGCAAAAATAGCTAACAATTCGGCTGTTCCTGTCTCCACTACCCTTCCACTAAAATACAGGGTGGTTGGTGATCCAGGATTTAGGCACTGTGTGGTTTTGCAAGTCTCTCAATAACAGTATTCAGCCGCACTGGGCGGGAGATGCTGAAAGGCAATTGCAACACTAGTAAAAGAGATTTTTTTTCAGAATTGAATGTTTTTCATGGTTCTTGAGTTGTCGTGCTGGGCGTGGCAGACACTTGACCTGTCCGAGCCAGAATTAAACCGAGTCTGAGTCCATTACTGTCTTTGTCATGCTAGAAGCAAGAGCAGGGGCTTGCCCGGAGTTTGTCACAGAGCTTGGTTTTGGTTCCAGCACTCACTCTGCCATACAACTAAAACCCAACTAAAACCAGAACAAAACTGGACTGTCGGAAAGGTTTTTATTTATTTTCAAAAGTGAACAGTTGGACTAAACCACAGAAAAATGGACAACAGGACAATTCACTACAGTACACCTACTGCACATACAGTACCCAACTGATGGGACTGAGGAGTGCCCAAAAGGATCATGGGAATTCTGTCTAATTGTGTAAGTATACATTTGAAATTACAATACTACCATATTGTTTTCTGCTTCATTTACCGGGTCCATAAACATTGTTTTAAATCGGCAGCATTTAGAACCTTGTTCCATCAGGGTACAAGCTCTGAAGTCAAGTCATTTAGCATTTTTTGACTTAAAGATAAATCAATTTAGAATAAGAAATGAGTAAGAAACTGCTTGTCTTACGCAGGTTACGCAGGTGACAATCTGTAAAGCATTGGTAAATGTAACTGTAAGTAAAAGGCAGTTTTAGTGTCCTATTTCCTTCGTTTCAATCAATTTCACCCATGTTGCCTTTATTTGTGACCTACACAACGCACGACGGCACCGAACACAAAACGCATAATGAAACGTTTCCATGCGGGGTTTTGCGGTAGCCTCGTCGTACTTTATGGCATAACATGCTTTCCAAAACAAAAAAGTAGGGGGCGGAGGGGGACGCACTTTTTGTCTGATCGGATGAGTAACGGGGCGTGCATCGTGCTGTGTCTGCATTGCGTCCTCCGCCCAATAAAAAGTGCCTGTTCAGGGCCGCTGGTATCTCTACGCCACCCGGCAACGAAGGCTGAATAGAAACAGTCGCCATTTTTTATTTCAGGCCAGAGAGCTGGTGCCGCACATAGGAGCGGACGGAGGAGTGAAGTCGTCTTGTGTGTTTGCGTGTTACAGATCTCAGTTTTTTTTTTGTTGTTCCCGTCGTGGTGAAAGGGAAAATCGTCCCAAGATCCGTAGCGTAAAATTGTTTTTTTTTTCTTTTTTTTTTCTGTTGGTGGTTGTTTTTAAGATTTGATTAGAACTGTAGCGTGATCCGAGATATGGCCGATACCGACAAGCTGAACATAGACAGTATCATTCAGCGCCTTCTGGAAGGTAAGGAGAAACCGCCTCTCTCTCTCTCTTTTTTTTTTCTCCTGTGTGTGTGTGTTTTTCAACCCCCCATCTGGGGTGTGGGTCCACCGGAAAAAAAAAAAACGTGAAATCTGACGGGATTGAAGCGAAGGAGCCGTGTCGGGTGTGTTTTTTTGGGCCGTTTCGTGAAGTTGGCGGGGCAGGCTGTGCGCCGGGACCCACGCAGGGTGGGAAGGCAGCCGTTTCTGAGCCGAAAATGGAGGGAGCTGGCGCTGCATTATTCATGCCGGGCGATGCTGTGGAGGTCGTCCGTGTGCGAGGGCCCTTTTTCGTGTCCGCCCGCGAATTGATTTTCTCTTTACGGATGAGAAACTTGCTTTTTTTTTGGTTTTTTTTTGCTGTGTTAGTCCACGTCCGAACGTGTATTTTGGTCCAATGGAGAGCCTTTCTTTTTTTAAATATGCGTTCGACGCGTGAGCCAGACGACACCTCTGAAAGCGTCGGTTGATTTTTTTTTCTTGTTTTTTTTTTGGATGTTTTTTTCCGTGAACATGCCGCCCAATCGGGCTTTTTATTTTAACCGGGTTTTAAGATGTTTAAATCGGGGTGGTGGTGGTGGTGGGGGGGGGTTACAGTCGATCGATTTGCGGGAGAGAAAACTGGGCCCGGCCCGACCCCAGCGGCTCGGCGCCCTGTTTGATGGGGGGGAGAAACTGGAACGACCCAGTTTCCGCCGTGAACGAAGCCAGTCGGATCTCCAGTGCGAACTGGTGACATGTTTGTGAATAATGGAAGAGTGTGTGTGAGGAGGGGTGGGGGGTGAACCGGTTTCTCGCGTTTAAAAAACGAAAGGTTTCTCGCAATAACGCCTTTTTGAGGGATGGCGGTGCCGGGCGGATGACGTGCGACGTTTATGCGTCTCTCTCTCCGGTCCTTGTTGACCGACTGATGGTCCCAATGTGGCTCAGCGACTTCAGATCGTGACCGGTTAGAAAAGAGCGGATGGAGGCCATCCGTTAGGTCATTGATGGTCCGAGGGTCACGTCTTGAAAGCAACCGAGCACCCCCCCGGGGTTCAACAATATGGCTGCTGAGCTTGTTCCCCCCTCCCACCACCCTTGGGGTAAAGGGGCTGCTGTTCTCGCTTTTAAATGCCCTTCCACGGAGTTTCTACTTGTGCCCCCCCTGGTTCGTGACTTGAGCCCGGGGGTCTCATGCGTGCAAAGAAGGCGCTGTCGTTGAAGCCTCGTCCCCCGACGACGTGTAATAAATATTCATTTAAACCCCGAAATGCCTTATCACTACACATTCCTAGTAGGTACAGGCCTTTTAATCTTCGCCATTACGAGCACCGCGTCAGCCAAACGTGTTGTGGAAGTAGCCCTCGGTATTTTGACTCTTAAAAAAAATTGCACGATTTTAAACAAACCCATTTATTTCTTCTTCTTTTTTGGGGAGCAGGCCTCGTGTGGTTATATAGCACTTCCACGAGATGCAAACTGCTTTAAAGCGAAAGGTCTTGCAAGATCAGTGAGGAATGGTGGGACATGACGTTGAACCTAAGCTGTTATTTCTGAGAACCTCAGGCCCGGCCGTGGGACTATAATGAGACGCCTCAGCATCTGTGACTCTGGGGCGGCTGGTTTAGTGCTGCACGGCTCCACTGGGAGCACTTAACGTCTTCCAACCAATTAGGAGCTGGGTCAGCTTCTTCTGCAGGTTATACTCAACACCTGAAGCAAACGCCAGTTTTAAAGCCCATAGAGGTCGGCTTTCCCCTATTTCCCATTGCTCTGACGTGATGCATTGGTTTTGGGGATGTCTCAAGTCCCGTTTGGGTGCAAGTTCCTCTCGCCATAGGAATCGAGGAAATGCCTTATGCCTGATTCACGAGCAGTAGTATTTTATGATGCAGCTGAAGCGAAACGTGTTTTTTTTTAACGCGTGACGGATCAGAACGATTATTTTGCTGTTGAAATGTAAATTGATGTATTTGCCGTGAGTTAGATCTGTACAGCGACAAGGCCGTGTCGAGAGCTGAAAGGCTGCGCTAAAACCACTTCCTGTTTTTTTTTTTAATCTGCTTAGAAACCGATTCCGTGACAGTGTTCCGCGAAGCCTCTGGTGCCATCGCGTTTTCACAACAGCACCGTGCTTCGGCTTCAGGTGGTTTCCCTGCCGAAACGGGACTTCATAGTGAATTCTCCGAGTTTTGAATTGGGGGTGGGGAGAGATTCAGGAATACTCTGACCTTATCTGGCTGTTTCCAAGTACTACATATACACCGATTAATGATCTCATAAACATGTGCAAGCAAGCTGGAGCTGGCAGTATTGAACCTGCCCTTTAAGTCCATTGACAGTGGGGCGTTACATGAATGATCCTGTCTTGATGTGCCAGCCGAGAGAATACTTCATATTAAGGGCGTGCTTATTGGAACTCGATTTACTGGAAAGATTTAGGCTTGGCTTTAAAACCTAATCTTTAAATGTAGAAATGAAGAAATAAACTTTAAGTGGCAGTCCTGCATGGTTTACATCCTGATGATTTTGTACCAATTAAACATAGCTGCTGCTCATTAACCTCTCACAGTAGCATTTCCTTTGTGGCTCTTTTTACTAATATTTTTTTCTGTCTCTTAAATGTTTTTTTGTTCAAAGATTCAGTTTTGTTTGATGAAAATGTTACTGTCTTGTGGCACTTCTGCAGCTTTGCCTGAGAAGTCAATCTGTAGTGTTACAAATGTGGAGTTGGTATTCATAAGACTCTTCCAGTGTCTCACAGGAATATTAATTTAAAATTGGCTTGTATTTTTTAATATTTAATACTTTCCCAAGTATTTTTAGCTGCATTAGAAATTAAGTGTATGGTCCTGAACATAATTCTGTACTATTTTATGAAATTGAGTTACAAGATGGGTTTTAAGAAGTGGTGTTGAAACATTGAAATTTACAATTTTAAATTACTGTGCATTCCAGCAATTGAGCTCTAAATTCTGTTTATGTACTGAAACTGCCACACCCCTGATAATTCTTTCAGATTTATGACTAAGGTTGTATTGAAAATTGTGATTTGAGCTTGATGACAGCTGAATTTCAGGGCCTCTCACGGCGCCCTGGGCTCCTGCCAGCGATCGCATGTCATACACAGCATCATAAAAGTGTCTCTGCATTTGTATGGCCATTTTGAGTGGTGATAACAAAAACTGAATTAGTTTGGTTAAAAGCTCATGAGTGACCATGATATTTGAGTGCCTTTCTTGGCAGTAAATCGCCTTATTTAGGCAGAGGTTGGATGGAGATATAACTGGTTTGCCTGTCAGTTCTGGTGAAAATCAAGGAATGCAAAGAAAGCAACGCGCCTCTCATCGGGAGAATGACATCGTGCCGTTTGTAAATTGAAGACTGGACTAAGATGCTTCAGGTGGATTCTCCAGCACCATAGCCAAGTCCTCTTTAAAAATGAATCAAGATTTTGTGTAGATAGCGTTGGATTTCTAATTCATAAACCCCTATTGTTACTGTGCCTTTTAAGTTGCTTAGGAAACACAGTCTCCGGCTTACACACAGAAATGAAAATGTACTGAAGAGCACAGCCGGGGCAGGCATCTACTGGGCCGTGGGCCTCTGGGATTGGGAGCATGTGGTGTAGACCACCTTGGAACATGCTGGCAAGTATGGTGAGAATGTGCAGAATGATAGTGTTATTGTGTAATTGATGGCAGGGGTGCTAGTGTGATGAGCTGGGTTGTGGAGTTGCTGCTGAACTCCACTCGTACTGCCTAATGGCAGCCTGGCTGCTGGTTTCATTGATTTCATGACCTTTTGCTGCCCTTCGTGTAGAATCACATTGCTGTGACACGGTTCAGTAGGACAGTGCGTTCTCAGGCTCCACCTGTACTGGAGAACGGCCTGCTTGCGAAATGTCAGTGTGGTGGCTTTGCTATGGATTTCTCCATTTCGTGGACTTGAGCCCCATTTAACTGAAGTGGAATGAGCTGGTTTCTGCTCTGTAGGGATTAGAAACCATTGAGCAGCCTCCTGCTTTTCGAGAGGAATGGGAGCAGAATCCCCCAAGCCAGCATAAGCGATCCGCTGTGAAGCATGAGTTGAGCAGTCTTCTTGATGACCAATGTTAATTGGCATAATGTTTTTAATCACATCTCTTTAACTTGTCAGTGTATTTTTTTTTTTGCAAAGTCACTTTCCTGATAACTTTGTGAATGTTGCAATTGTGAGCAGTATTTTTTCATGCTCCATGTACATACTGTATGTGGGCTTTCAGTAGTTGAGGAAGGCTGATTCAGTAAGTGATAGGCAGAGATGTCAGTGCTCTAAAAACCGCTTACTCTAGAGATCACACTCTCTTGTCCTGGAAAACTTCTACAGGTTTCATCAATTCATAGGAAGATCAGCTTTATCTCGAGTTGACTGAGTAGTTGGGAAACTTGCAGTAGTTGTAAGATTAGTTTTGAATGCAAGAGAACCCTGTGGCTCTCCGAAAAATGTGTTCACTCGTATTTTACTTTTCTGACACATTTGCCCTTGCATACAGCTGTTTACAAACTGTTCTGTAGCTTATGATAATTAATGAAACTACCATGTAGTTTAAGTAGTGAAGTTAAATCTTACACAGAACACAAGATGACATTTGTAGGATAAAATTTTTTTTTAACCCTTGTGGAAACTAAAAAATGAATTTTAAAGGTGCAAGGGCTGTGTGCATTTGAGAATCAATCTGATACTTTTATCAGTAGAAACATTCACTAGCTTGCATCTGGCGACTTAGAAGGTGTTCTAAGAAAACAAAATGTAAACAGGCTTTTTTTACTGGGCTTTTTCTGGGAACTTGTTTATGATTATAGTCCAATCCTGTCTAGCTATAAATGAAATTGAGATGGTTAGGAATGGAGACTAGTCATTGTTCCTTTCAGGCCTTGTTTACTGCACAAGAATTAAGGGACTGCATATAAGCTCCTTATTGTTCCCCTGCCAGTAGAATAAGTAGACTTTCAAGTGTCGATATTCGAAATTAAAATTTTATCAAGTCTGAGTTTGGCGTTTGACTTGTTGCATGGGAGTGTGGTTTTTGTTCTGCTTAACATTGATTCAAGAGCTTGTTATTAAATGTAATTGGTCACACCTAATTAAACAGCCTTAGTCATTCAGATGTTGAGCCATGCATTTATGGAACTCTTTTCTCTGCACCCATTTTGGCTAGTATGGGTCTCTTATTCCTTTTGTCATGCTTATAACTGATCTTGCTCTTGGTGGGGTTGTACAAATTCTCATTTGGCCGACTGAGTCAGTTTTGTTTTAATTGAGTTCTAGTTCTTAATCACTGGTTGCATAGCAAAAAGTCATTTGTCAGGCATACTGGTAGCTTCACCAGTCTTCCTGGAATCATGTCTTTGGCACAAGGTACGCCTGTGGATAGCTGGAGTGTGGGTAGATGGTTTAAAGAGGTGGCTGTCGGTTCTTTTCTCTAGGGTAAATTATAAGTAGGTTTATTTTCAGCCCACTATGCAAGTTTAATTTAGCCTTTAACTACCGGGTGACCTCGGACAAACGGTGTACTTCGATGTTCAATGTGTATCATTAATGCAGACGTCTGGCTTTAAGAAAGCAATCATAAAGACCTGTTTTGTGTTGTAGTATTTTCCAAAGCTGATAAGCAGAGTGATCTGTAGTCCAAGAAAACCAATCAGCTTTCGAATAAGCTTTATTTACGTGATGGTTACTAATCCAGAACTGTAATTTTATTAATAACTTAATCTGCTTATGTTCCAGTGTTTCAGCAGGACAGCTGACCTCCTATATTAAGTATATTGTGCTGGTTTATTTGACGCTTGGTTATAAAAATAGAAGGTGTAAGGATTAAAAGCTTGTATAAAGTAGATATCCAGCTCAGCTCTGTATGCCATTCGTATACAGTAGCTATCCTAGCTTTCCGGGTGAGTTTAAAGCCTGGAAGACAGGAGTAGCTTGATGTGGAGGAGGAAAAATGGGCATTATCCTGTGCATGTCCATGGAATCACTCTTCATTCTCATGAAAGCCGCTGTAAAAAGTATTGTTTGGATGTTTTTGTACTGAGACATCTAGGAGTAAAGCACTGTCCTTTGGATGAGATGTAGAACTGAGGTCCTGACTCTGATCAGTAAAAATCGTGATGGGTGTTTCTCTAAAAGAGTAGGGGTGTGAGTCCTGGTGTCCCGGACAAATTTGCCCCTGGCCGTTGTCAATGCTGTCCTCCTAATAACCCCCATCTATGAAGTGGCTTCATGAAACTGTTCTCCCTGCTGACAGCTGGAGTGTGGTGAGCATACTGGTGCACTATGGCTGCCGTCCAGGTGGGGTCTACATGTTGGTGAGGGCGAGGAGTCCCTGTCACCTGTAAAGCCCTTTGAGTGGAGTGTCCAGAAAAGTGCCATATGAGTGCAAGGAAATATTTGTATCTCTGGTCATGGTCACGTAGTTCTGTTGCGTGGATGAATAGCCACAGCTTGTTTTGCGAACATGCTGTGCTGATTGTAGGTTGTACTGTATTTCCCATGAGGTGGGCTGTGATGCTCGCTTGTGTTCTTTGCTCAGTAAAGAGCTTCAGTGTGAAAGGGTTACATGGAGATTGGAACATGTCCATGCTTTGTAAACTTGTAATATAGGTTGCTTGTTTTGTAGCCATTGTTGATAAACTTTGTATCCAAGTTTCTTACATCCTAACGTATGAGATTTAAGGGGACAATTTCCCACTAAACTGGTTCTGTACATTATGCTGAAGAGGGTGAAGTATTCACTATAGCGGTTTAAATTCTTTCCGAGGGTCGGGTTACTGCTGTAAGTTGTGCACTGACATCAGGAAAATGTCAGGTTGTTGGCACTCTTGTCAATGTGAATAGTTAGCTGAGCCTTTTTTTTAATGTGGATGTTACGAACTTTAAAGTTCACTGAGAGATCGGCAAAACTGGCATTGTTTTATAAAAATACTTCACTTTAATTTTCATGTGTTAAATGGTAAAGTCTTGGAAAGGAATGACCTAATAAACCAGAGTCTATTTAAAGCTTTTAATGCAATATATTTTAATAGTGTTAAGTATGAAGATGGAGCCTTCCATAACTTTTCCAGTAAGGTGTCATTTCTGATTAACCTTAATTCTTGGCTTTCATTTAAAGACTGTGAATTCAGGTGGCTCTAACGAATTCATTAACCCTAGGTACCAAAGGTAAAAAATCTTAGAGAAGTATGTCATCCTGGCATATTAATAGTACAGTGTATAGTTATAGAATTGACTATCTTAAAGCTTCTTACTTACTACTTTAACACTTTCAATTTCCATGTTACTGAATTCCGTAGTGTTACCATGACTTTTTTTTTCTCCAAACAGTGAGAGGCTCAAAACCAGGCAAGAATGTCCAGCTACAAGAAAATGAGATTAGGGGTCTCTGTCTCAAATCCCGGGAAATCTTCCTAAGCCAGCCAATCCTGCTGGAGCTGGAGGCACCTCTTAAGATATGCGGTGAGTTCACAAGCCGCCCCCGGGCTGATGATGAAAGATCCTGATTCGAAAGCAAAGGGAGGAATATTGAACTTTCCCACACTGGGTGGATTGTTTGCGATAGCAGGGCAAGTTCCTTTTTCTGTGTATATTTTAGTTTTCCAACGAAAGTGTGGGAACTTGCACACATGGGAGTTCTTGGATGACAAACCAGACTCCCTGACAATTTTCTTGAGCAGCATTATGTTGTGGAACTGTGGTTCATGTGCAGAGCTAAACCTCAGACTGGTTTCCTTCAGAAACCATGCTAAAGATCCAGGTTTAAAACTTGTTGACTTGTTCCATTCACGTTAAATTAGTTTACTCAAAAATATCCGTTACAGAGAATACTAAAAAGGCTTGTTCTGTAGGTGACATCCATGGGCAGTACTACGATTTGCTGAGGTTATTCGAATACGGTGGATTTCCACCTGAGAGCAATTACCTGTTCCTTGGAGACTACGTGGACCGAGGGAAACAGTCACTGGAGACCATCTGCCTGCTTCTGGCCTATAAGATCAAATATCCAGAGAACTTCTTTCTGCTGCGAGGAAACCACGAATGTGCCAGCATCAACAGAATATATGGCTTTTATGATGAATGTGAGTTGATTGTATTTCAGAATTTTTAAAATGGTGTATACATCTTGCAGTGGAGAGCTGGCACGTTTTCATTTCATTGAGTAGTTGACGTGCTTGGGAGGGGTGGAGAGGTGGAGGTACAGAGGGGGAAACTTATTCAGAAACAAATTTTGATAGTGCTCTAATGCAGTGTTGTAAGTTTGATTACTCCACTTTTTGTGAATTGCAATTAGTGTATAATATACTCATTTAAAAGTGGGGGGGGGAAATGGAGTGGTTTGAAATTTTCAGCATCCTGATAATAGTGATAATTCACACCCCTTCTTTGATACAGCAACAGAAGCTTTACACGTTCTTGTATTATTACAATTCTCTTCTGTGATTTGAAGTCATGAGCACTTTATATTTGTTTGCCTGTTACCAATTTTATTTGCTTGAAATTCTTGCTGCTAAATGAAAAATCTCTTGCCCTGCAGGTAAAAGGCGATACAACATCAAGTTGTGGAAGACTTTCACAGACTGTTTTAACTGTTTACCCATAGCAGCTATTGTGGATGAAAAGATTTTCTGTTGTCATGGAGGTAGGAATTGGATAGAAATCTGATCTTTCGTAGGTTGTCCTTGGGTGACTCCTGCAAGTCATGAATGTTAGTGACTCCTCTGGCATGTTAATGAAATTAGTGGTTAGTGAGCCAGTGTTTTTTTAAATGCACTTTATTCTTGAACGTAAAGGGAAATGGGCTTCTGTACATGTATATTATATGGGTGTTCTAGAAATGTATGCAGTCCTGACTCCCTTTCATCGTACTGTTTATTGGGATTTGACCATGATGCATTTTATGCAGGTTTTTAACTTTTAAGATACCTAAAGAGTTTGTGAACACTGTAGACTTTTAATAAATTGAGAATGTGTTCTGTAAATCCGTTTTAGGAATTAGGTTGGGCACCACACTTTTGTGCCCCTTGAGTAAAATGTCTGTGTGTTGTCCTCAGGTTTATCCCCAGACCTTCAGTCTATGGAGCAGATCAGGAGGATCATGCGTCCCACTGATGTGCCTGACCAGGGGCTGCTGTGCGACTTGCTCTGGTCTGATCCGGACAAAGATGTGCTGGGCTGGGGAGAGAACGACAGAGGAGTCTCCTTCACTTTTGGTGCAGAAGTAGTTGCTAAATTCCTCCATAAACATGACTTGGATCTAATCTGTCGAGCCCATCAGGTAGGCAGATGTTTGGGGAATCGACACAAACTTAAGAAACGGGTTTAATTTAAAACTTGATGCATCAAACATAGCTAGGGGCTTTGAAGATTGGTCCAGTTGAGGGGTTTTGTGTTTTCAGGCTGTTTTTGTGCACATCATGAAACTCCATACTTAAGCAGTGCTAAAACTTATTTAGTGACTTTTTTTGGTTACCTCAAGGTTGTTGAAGATGGCTATGAGTTCTTTGCAAAGAGACAGTTGGTGACTTTATTCTCTGCGCCCAACTACTGTGGGGAGTTTGATAATGCTGGTGCCATGATGAGCGTTGATGAAACCTTAATGTGCTCTTTTCAGGTAAGATTCACTTCTAAATTGTTTAATTCTTGTTTTATGTAGTCATGTATTGAAGCTACACTGCACCAGAGCATTTTTTTGGTATTTACTCACATTCATATGTTGCTTCACCTTTTATCAAGTGTGCTTGGTGAGTTGAACAGTTACACTTCAAGTCCAGGAAAAAGCAATGGATTAACCACAGGTAAATTGGAGTGATCCATCTTGGGAAAACCCATTCTCCGTGTGCTTTACATTGCAGACGGACGTGATCACTGGTCACTACTAATCTGACTTGTGCATGTCTCTACCTAATTGCATTTTGCTGGCTCTTGGTTGTTGGGCATTATTATTACATCAGGTGCAAAGTAGATCATACATTGGTGTAACGTGATTGGTAAAACCAATTTCCGTTGTGGTTTAATTTACTCAAGAGCCTGCAGTTAATCCCAGGGGAAAGTTTTCAATCACTCTTAAAAAAAAAAGTAGCACTTTTTCAGCTGGGTATGAATCTCAATAGGGCATCAACGGGGATACTGGCAGGTTTCATTTAAATATTGGGGAGGGGGGTCTTTTGGCAAAAGTGCCTGTGGGAAGCTGTTTAATTCACACGTGTGGTTTTAATACCTGGCAAATGAAGTACTTGGATTGGTCCAGTCTTTAAATCAACAAATTCAGAAATCGCTGCGAGTCAACCACAGTGTCACTCCCAACTGTTATCTGAGCTTTGTCCAGAATGAGTTGCCTTAGTATAGTTTTGCAGCTTAGATACATCACTTGTGGTCCAAGTAGATGAAGTCAAAAGCTGTTGCTAAGAAATGTACATTTGGATAGTTCTGTACGGCTTCAACATACTTGTGCAGCTGCATGGCATCTTAATACAAGGACACAAAGGCAATTCACAAGAGTCCAGTGCAGCTGTGATTGTCCAGTTGATTGACATCTGCATACACACCTGGGTTGTCCTTGCAAAACTAAACTACCTTCAAAAGTCATTTGTCTGTTTAGAGTCCTGTCTCAAAGGTGCATTAAATGAACCACAGATCTTTTGTACACAAATGGAATATTAGTCCAGAAAACTTTGTAAGTTTACGAAAGTAGTAAGTTTAAACCTTTCCCAAAAATGCAACTAAATGGATACATTTTACTTTTTTCTTGCACTAATGCTTGTTTTTTTGCAGATCTTAAAACCTGCGGAGAAGAAAAAGCCTAATGCAAGCAGGCCAGTTACACCTCCAAGGAACATGATCACAAAGCAAGCAAAGAAATAATACAGCCTGGCATTACCCATCTGGACTTGTACCATACAATCTCCATTTTTTAAAAATTCCCCTCTTTGTGTAATGTTATCAGTTGGTGTGCTTGGAATAGATTTTTCTTGTTTATTGGTTTCTCGAACACCATACGCTGGTGATATTTTGCAACTGAGAAGACTGCTACTTCAAGATAAAGGATGGAAGTGCATAGATTTTATAGATCTTCAGACTAACTGGCTGTTCAACTTCAGGTTTGCACACTCCATTGTGGCCAGTCTTCAACACATTTCCGAACACTTGTAGCTACCAATGGATTTTAAGTGCTTTTTTTTGGAAGCTCAGAAGACATCTTATGAACTGGTTTGACATAATAATCAAGACCTGCTTCCTAGAACTGTTAATGATGGAGACATCACAATTTGCTCAAACCACTGTGAAAAGTAATTGCATAAAATAAACTTAAAGACATAAGGATTTTAGTTAAGACTAGGTTTATTTCTCCACTTTAGCACGTGTTGTGTAGCTACCAGAAATATCTACTCCGGTGTCACTGAGTTGGTGTATGATTTTAAGCACTTCTTGTACTGTGCACATCAAATAAATAAAGCTGTTATTTTAGATGTTTTTCTTAATGCTTCTCCATTTCTGGGTAGGAACTTTAAGGATAAAACTATTTTTTTGCATTTAATTTCACTCTCCATAAGTGTTGTAGTCAATCGGTAAAAATACAGCTGTAAGTGACTAACCACAGACAGACTATCAATGGGATTATTACTATTGGCTTAATTTGTTTGCATTTAGAACGTTTTGAATCAGTTGCCTTTGTTTTATTGGAAAGTTCCTGGATGTGTCCCTAAGTATCTTTCAGTCCTAGAGGTGAACTGCTCCAGATCGGTGATGGCATGTAAACCCTTTCTAATAAGGGCTGGGGGAAGTCTTTTTGTTGCATGTATCTAGCTTTAGAACTACAGGAAATAAGGTCCCTTTTCCTTAAACAAGGCATGTGTATTTTCTGTCTTAAAGCTAATGTAGCTCTTGATTTCTTCAGGTATCAGTAACTTGTAATTACAACTTAGAACTTTTAATATTTGACAAGTTTCATCTTCTGTACCGATTATCTAATGTGTACATATATATTACAATGCTTTGGTCAGCCTTGGCAATATCTTGTATAAATAAACTCAAGCTCAGTTTTTCACATTCAGAGGATTGTATACTTGTTTAATAAAATTGTGGGGAGGGTGGGAAACTTGAATTACACAATGAAATATTAGTTTTTATTTGTGAAATAAAACCAAGAACATGACTTAACTGTTCCAATGTTTGTATTGTAAGGAATGGGTGCCTGGCCTGTGTGACAACAGTCTAAACTTGTAGCAGTTTCATCCGCCGTGATCTTCACGTTTAGAAAGACCGAAGCTAATGCATTGAGTCCCTATTTAACTGCATCCACGATGTATGTACATTTGCTTGAATTTATCGCTTACTCTGCAGTGTGATGTTGCCATTGCTTTTCTTATGAAATAAATCGCTGGTTTTTCCCAGATAAAGTTTGCATTTTTCCTTTTATAGTTGAAAGGTATGGGAAAAGTTACGCTTTCTTTTCAAATTAAAGGTGGTTTAATGTTTCTTGGTGCTGGTGTCTTTTGAGCGCCGTGAAGTTAGCCCCCCTCCAGCCAGCACAAACGATGAAACCGACCTTGTTAGTGCCATGTTTGTGCGTTGAAAGTAGCGTTTGCTGCTTTCGTTTCCGAGGTATCGCGCCTTGTTTTTCTCAGTCGTGGCGTCAATCAGCCCCCCTACAATGTCTTGGGGAAACCAAACCGGTCTCATTCGTTAGTGCTATGCTTGTGCCATTGAAAGTAGCGTCTGTGCTGTTTTCGTTCCCGAGATATAGCGTCTTGTTTTTCTGGTGATCATGTGACCATGCACGGTGACTTTGACCTCCAGTGACCCCGCCTGCCGAGTTCAAGCGCTTTGGTAGATTAGCTCTTACCCTTAACATTTTAAAGACAATCAATATCCATAAACATATGAGCCTCCTTAGATGTGAGTAATACTTAGACATAACGCATGCCAACAAGTTTGCCACCATCTATGATATAAACCTGTGGTTGTAATGTATGTAAAATCACCGTGATTGTAAGATCTATGGTTTTTATTTTCTAAGGCACGTTTTCCTTTTCTTTCCCTACCATGACATGCTTTTGCCAAATGCCTAACTGTAGGATATCATCACGATAAGACCTCCGCAGCATGTCATGATAGGGACCCCATGTATAAGGCATGTATATCGCGGCAGTGTATATCACGACAGGCGCCTTGCTTCCATGCCACCATGGCACCGCTGTTGCAACAAATGTCTCATATCAGGACATGATATACCCAGATAGGACATGTCCCGATATATGGGGTGAGCATATCCTGTCAGGGTATGTCCTATCGCAACATAGGGACTCCAAGTTGCGACATGGGGTGGGGCATTTTGTCGGGGTATGTCATATCATGATATATGGGCTTCATGTCATGACATGGGTGTGACACTTTTTGTCATATCGCGATATAGGACCTTTCATGTCGTGACATGGGGCGGGGCACTTTTGTCGGGGTATGTCATATCGCGATATATGGACTCCACGTCGCGACATGGGCGTGGCAGTTTTGTCATATTGCGATATAGGGCCTTTCATGTCGCGACATGGGGCGGGGCACTTTTGTCGGGGTACGCCATATCGCGATATGCGGGCTCCATGTCGCGACATGGGGGGTGGAGGACGTTTTGTCGGGGTATGTCATCTCGCTATATGGACTTAAAGTCGTGACAGAGGCGCCATGACAGTGATGCGCCAGTCGCAATGGGTATCGGCATGTGATCGTGATGCGCGCACTCCTATCGTGACATGCTATCGGAGTCGTGAACGCGCTGTGGATGCCATGACATTCTTTGTCTGCTATTCAGTTTTGACCTCAGTGCGACTTTGTGCGAGATTGATCAGTAATTGGAAACCAATGGATGTGTTACTGTTACTGTGTATCCAGCGTGCTCATACAGCACACACGGTACACAGAACTTCCGCTGTGGCGCTTTACCCAATCAGAGTGTCGATTCTCACTCTTCACCCAATCGCGGCCCGAGCTGTTCGGGGGTTTAGCCAATCACGGGTCTGAGAGCTGTCCAAGCCAGCAGCGCCAGGTGGATCGGCTTGTTCACTGTCAATGAGAATCTATTTTTAAAATGGTTTACTTATTTGCAAAATAACTACATCGGCTTGTTTTTTTTTAACTTCTTTATTGATTCACAATGTCCCGTACTCTTTTGTAATAAATACATTTTTTTCAATATAACTGTCTCCGCTGCTTTCTGTAATGAATACATGGTATTTGAACAATTTTAATCGTATATTTAAGGTAAGGGAAACACCTTCTGCTTTGTACTTCAAAAATGAATAGAAATGTAAAGTGTATGATCATTATATTATTATTATCGTGCTTTCAATTTTGTTTTTATTGTTAAATTATATCGATCTTGAAACTAATACCTACAAATGTGAATATGGGCTCTCGTGTTGTACCAGCGGTAATTTGGAAACTGGTGTCTCTTCACTAATGAAAGGAGTACACAAGCAATACATTTTCGAGAACATGGTTAAAAATTAAAAGAAAACACCTAACCCAAAGAACTAACATAGTAACTCCTCCCTAAATGTAAGACTGTTTATTCGTGTAAAGGCTGCAAAGTCTGGGGTCAACTGATCAAAAGATCACAACTGAAAGATCTGGTTGGTGGTCGTGACTTTGCTGTTTTGTACGTCACAGAGTGGCGCTATATTGAAATGTATTGAAACATCCACCCCACCCGCAGACAGACTCGGGAAACAAATTGCCCCCATTGTTTTAATCACAAGTACCGAGTTTGTTGGTACGTGTAAACTTCCTTGTAGACAGTCACGTTATAACCCGAAAACCCAAGGCGCTATATCTCGGACACGAAAGCTGCACAAACGCTACTTACAGCGACACAAGCCGGCACAAACGCAGCACTAATGATTGCGGTGAGTTTTGTCGTTTGTGCTGTTCGACGGGCGGGCGGGGACCTTCATGGAGCAGGACAAGCAAACATGTCTGGGTCATTACACTGCAGACTGCAGAAGACTCGCCTTCACCTGAGGATGTAACACAGGCAGCCACACCTGTGTCTTCAGAGGGCAGGTGTGCCGGAAACACAAAGATAAAAGCACTGTGAGCTCATCGCTTCATGTCTGCGCAGAAGACCCCTGTAAATACAAACACACGGATAATGACAGGTTATTAAATAATTCAGATATATGTTCACTTCTGTTATGAGAAAATCAAAAATATGTTTCCAATATTGCCGCGGTCCGCAGCTGTGAGACGGTGGACTTTCCGGTGTTGCTTCTCGGCTGTGTTATTTACTACCCGCGACACCCTTGTACGTAGTGCTCCTTAAAAAACACCCTGTATCTTTTTCACGAGTGTGCTTTGCATAAAAAGTGCAACAGTGGTCTTGTTGTTCGTAAAGTTGCAGGTTCAAGCCTTTTTGAGCACTTGGCTCGACTGACGGGGTCGATACTTCACACGTCCCTCGGTGTTTATTTAAGGAGACTTTTTAAAAAAGCACACCACTACGAAGTATTAAGACGTGCTCGTTAAAGCCTCTTGGTAAGAACATGCAATCGTTTTCTAGTGTTCGCTTTTTGAGACTACACCCGCAACTCTTCTGATTAGGGTATGTGATATTCGTGACAAATTTAATTTTCCTGCTCACACAAACGCACAGAAGACACTGATATTAAATGCAATATCACCCGGGCCAACAGAGGAACACCATTGCAGAATTGTTACTCTCGCACCGGTAACAGACGCTTGAACTCGGCAACCGGGGTCACTGGAGGTCAAGGTCACCGTGCATGGTCATGTGATCTCCGGGAAAACAAGGCGCTATATCTCGGGAACGAAAGCAGCACAAACGCTAGTTAACGGCATAAACCGGCACAAACGCATGAGTTGGGTTTCATGGTTTGTGCTGTCTGCAGGGGGGCCAACTTCACGGAGTTTGTGTTATTGTGCTGGCGCTCAAGATCGCCATCTTGTGGGGGAAAGGTGGACGTTACACAATTCTGTTGCAGGAGGAATGTGCTTGCCTGTTTTTCAGATGGCCCCTTGCCCTTTTAAGATGCGCCGGTCATCATGGAAATTGACATCCGCAACAAAGACGTCGCTTTTCTGGGGGTAAGCGAATAAAATATTGGACGCCAAAATAAGGAAAATGTGCTTCAGAACGTTTCTCTTTAGTGCCTTAATACCAAACGAAATCGCGTCTAACTGCAACAACTGAGATTAACAGAATCATTTTAGTACTTATTGTAATAGTGCAGTGATTTTATTGAAGAGACCTGACGTAGTTAAACTGATGATCATCACATCTGATGATGCGGTCACGCTATGCCGTGGGTGACCCACGGCTGGAAGCAACCCACGCTGGACATCGCGACGCCCGCTTTGCACTGGTGGACAGAAGAGCGCCTGGCGGGCTTCAGTCCTTTGGCTGAGCCGACGTGAGCCTTCTCGCTGATCTGTGAGCTCCAGCTGACACCGGTCTTCCCAGCCCTGTGAACAGGTCCTGTTCAAGCCATGACGGTCACATTCTCGGCTTGGGACGGAGCCGCTGTCCTGGCGGGGGTCCCGCTGTAAGGACCCCCAGGGGTTGATCCCTGTGGCACCGGCGGGGCCGTTCCTGGCCACAATATCACCAGCAGGGCCCCCCCATCGGTCTGGGAAAGAGGCCGTGACCTGGGCTCCGTTACTGGCGAGCGGCGGTTGTAACGCCTTGCAGGGTCAGAAATTGCGTTTTGAAAACTTCAGACTTCCTCCGGCCTCCGACTGACCGATGGCGTTGTTCTCTCGAGTAGTAGTTGGGAGTATTTTTTCTTCGGGGTTTTTTTTTTTTTTTTACTTCTTAATTTGCACCAAGGGTCGGAGGTCAAGGGGTTAAACCCCGAATTTACTGACTTGGAGGCGCAGGTAGCCGCTCGGGTGACAACTGTCAGTCTAAACGATCAAATAATCGAAATGCTGCCCTCCCAAAAAACATTTCCCTTGAAACATAACATGCATGGATTGAAATAAGCTTCTTTCGGTGTTCAGTGGACTGTTGTGCACGTTATATGGTCCATTCTTCTCCAGAATTTCACTTGAGGCGTCCTGTAGTCTAGGAACTTGGTTTACAGCAAGTACCGACACGCGTGTTGAAACACCTCTTGTGTTCAGAAGAAAGGCGAAGTTTTTTTTTTCTCAGTGTCAACATATTTACATTGAAAACATAAATGTTGCTCTTTTTTCCGAGTATTAAATCGTTTAAGGCCCTTTTCAACTCATAGCAAAACAAAATGGACGTCGTGAGAATTGTCAGATGAAGAGACAAAGCGTCTTTTTAACCCTTTATTTACCTTTCGAATGATTAGCATAAAAGAATATGATCTTGGGTCACTGAACGTCCATATTATTATCCTTTACTCTGAAAAAGAAGAAGTTTTATAAAGTTTTTTTTTGTACGAGAACAAGCATGCCATAATAATCTACATGATATATGAAATTCAAAACAATCTATCCGATTGTACCTCACATATGTTTCCAAACTCTGTTCGTCGGTCGTTTCTCTGATCTTCTTGGCTGTAGTAACATAAGGTGCTGGTAACGTGTGTTACTAATTCACAGAATTCCGAGAGCAGGTTACGTTTAAAACCACCATAATGTCCTGCCATAAATCTTTAAAAGGCGATTCACACTAGCATGAATGATCATTCAATCGATCGAGTTAATCGCTCTAGTGTCTACCCGCACTGCAGCTGCTGTAGAAAACGCTGAACACAACTGAACTCAGTCTGATCTGTGACTTTATTTTATATCGGCAGAATTACTGGAAACAAAGAAATGCGGACCTCACCACGCAAAAGGGAGAAAAAACATGAGGTAGGTCGGACCTTTTCTTTAATGAGCGTCAATACAAACATCTGTTTTTTAAAGACACAAGCGAGTCTGACGGTGTTGGGCAATTCCACGTTAAAATCGATAAACTTGTCATTCAACCTCAGCATCTGTTTTGAAGTTGTCTAAGAAGTAAAGCGTCGTTACGCGATCAATACTGTTATATCCGTGAATGACCATTGTCAGCACTCATGAGCACTTCAAAAGCCCACCAAGTAAAGACCTGAAAATGGTCCATGAGTGGACACTGCAGTCCCGTAGCTCCTATTACGACTCGCCCAGAACAGTTTTTTTTATATAAATAGTTTAATTCCCCAATTTATTTGTGTACAGAAGTCTCTCAACTGTTTCTTTGACTTGAGCAACGCCAGCATTGCGCAAGGGTCTTTCACTGGTTTGGGGGTAGTTTGGGATTTCTGAGCGCTCCTTCGCTCAAACCAGATTTTCCTGCAGGACTGGAGTCGCAGCGAATCCCGACTCTACGAAAACGACCATTCCAGCCTCACCCTTCAGGAAAAAGAGAGCAGGGGCGGGCTTTTGCTGGGGTCAAAGTTTTCACTGAGCATAAAACTAAGAAGGGGGGAAACGAGCCTATCTGCAACTTTTAAAAGACACTTTCACACGTATCAGGTACTGTTTACTTTCTGCAAGCATAAAGATGCGTTGATGGTGCATATATTACTTTGAGGAAAAAAGCAACATACATTGATTAGAAGAAGAAATCGCGAACAGTTATGGATTTCAGATGCTGTTTTAATGTTATTTACATTATGCTATTTTGACGCATTTGGTGCACAAGTAATAAACCGTCAAGCGAGAAGATCTACGATCTTAATTTCTGGGAGTTGTAATTCGGTTTTGGTTGGTAAAAACCTTTTCCCTGCTTCCAGGAAATCACGAGTTATCGCATCTCCGAGGTTGGATTTTTTCAGCCGTTTCCATTAGACTTTGAAGAAACCCACAAAGATACTGATGGATGCAAACTACTAGACCATCAAATCACAGTTATTTTATTAAATGTGAATAGTTTTGAAAGTGGGGTTAAGGATTTACCATCCTAACCACCTAAAAATAATTGTACACATCCGCTTTTTTAACTGCTTTCCGGAGACGAAGTGGATTTGCTCCTTATTTTGTTGTAAGCAGACTTAAAGTTTAATTTGCAAAGGAAAACGCAAAATGTACGCGCACCTGTAATATTCAGCAGCTGCTTGAGTATTTGCATACTGATAAAATTACCAGGTACAGGGTAGTATTTTTCACAAAGGAGGAACTGAAGATGGATTGAAGTTGTCTAGTCATCATGACAAAAGTATATAAATAAAAACAAGCTGCAACTTGACATCTTCATTGAGTCTAGTTTATCTAGGTAAGTCACATTCGCTTTTTAATGCCGTTATTCATATCATTAGAGCACTGCTTTAAAAAAAACATTAATCGAATATATCCACAATTAAGTTAATCCTGTATGCAACGATGCATCTGCATGTAGATACGTAAAGTTTTATATTTTACCTTAAAAGTATTACCAAACGCTGAAAACACCCACTCTTGTTTAGTGTGGTCGTGGACCCAGGACAGATCATTACATATTCCAAATATGGCAGTATTTTTGATCTTGTGTAGATTCTCAGAACTTCAGCCTGTTTTAAGTATCTTGCAAATCACAGAGAGCGAAGTAAAAAAGGAACCACGAAAACTCTTAACTTCAGGCGAGTTGAACAATATTGCTGTTTTGTAATCTCCGTTCACTGTTGGGAACTACTTTGTTTTGTAGAAGTATTCCGAGGTGTACATTAATCCCTGTCTTTTTCAGATATCTGATAACGTTCCTCTGGGTTTTTGTCGTTTTGTTTAGGGCGGCGAAAATTGTCCCTCGGATCTGTACTTTTGACTTTTGTTTTTGCCCTTATCTGATTAACAAAGAGGAATTGTATTGGCCAGTACCTTCCATTAATTTAACCTCCAGATGTTTGTGAATTTGTGGATGTGGCCAATCTATTTAACATATACAGGAGGCCTGTGCTTGGTTCAGATTATCATTGCCTGAGGTGAAGTGAGTCTTTGCTCGCTAATAGTCAGTAGTCTGTAGAAACACATAGAACACCATTACATATAAATCTCTGAATTACACCTTGTGCCTGCTCAATTAAAACATTCTGTATTCTGTCATTTTTAACAGAAGACAGCTTCTTCAGCATCCTAACAGATTGCTCTGTTTCAGAACAGTATATCAGAAAGGGGGCATGTAGGCATCAGAATAGGCGTGCGTGTCTTGTAAAAAATGGATTGAAGAAAAAAAATAGTTTGAAAAAACACAAACTCATTTAGAGCCTCCACTTTCAGGCTCATGGAAAAAAAGGCATCGCTCT